AATTTCCAAAACATATTACTATGTAGGTTCTTGGACAATTTCTAAAAACATCATGTCAAAAATTTTTGATTGTCAAATTTAATTGAATTTCATTTTTATATATTTATTCGAGTTCTGCAAAACATAGTTGTATGTGATTTTACATAGATATTCACAAGAACCTAAACCACAAATGATATAAATTCATACATGTTTATTATGTATATTTTTGCGCAATCAACAAAAGCAAGTGTTCCAATACTTTTGTATGTTTACTTCTTTTGATCCTAAATATGGAACAGATATGAAAGACAAGCATGTTGTTATGAGGATACAAAAGTTCAAAATATGTTATTATTTTTTATATAAGTTTGTATCTTATAAGTTAAGTAAAAATGGCATATTTTATTTTATTTTATAAAGGGAGTAGATAATAGCAATGATATTATTATTGACTATGAGAGATATGAGAGATTAGCCATCAACAAATCAAGTGAATCAAGTTCTGAGAAATATAGCAATCAAAGTGAAAATGAAATAATTATTCTTCACACACATATGTTTAATTCAATGTAAATGTATTATTAGTGTAAATGTTAAATATTGCTAAATTTCTAAATTAGCTAAATAAAAATTAGAATATCACAATGTTTAAGAATAAAAATTTTATGAATTTGTTAAATAAGTATTAAATAATCATAACATAAATTCTGTATAGGGTCTATTGAATGATGTTATTTTCATTATGTGCTATATAATGCTATGAATTATGCATTTTTAATTTCAAGGTGTCCTTGAAATTATTTATTAATAATAATAATATTAATAATAACAATTACACAAAGCAAAATACCAATCATTCATTTGTTGTCATCTTGATAGGACCTTATAATTACCCAACAAGATCTACTTCACATTTTGATCCAATTATAATATTTATATCTTATTGGTATGCCAATACCTTGATTGTTTTTTAAAAAATATTGGTCAGATATCAGATTCTGATATTTACTGATACCCCATTACTCAATTTGGCATCATTCAACCAGTAAAAAGAGAATCAATAGATTATATATAGAGCAAAGAAAGATGGGACCCTAAATTAGCACAAATGAATTTTAAATCATGCACATACATAATGGCCTATCTTTAATAAAACAAACATGACTTAACCATTTAATCATTTCCTTGTATGTGAATGTTTCCTAGTTCCTTATGAATAATAAATCTGATATTAACCACAGGTGTCAGATTTATTAAAATTTCCTCTCACAAACATGCAGGACACTACCAGCACCATGGAATTTTTTTCCCACAGGTGAAGTTGACCTTGAACACCTTGGAAAGCTTTGGACAAAACTTCCCTTATCCTCCTCTCAGACCAGGCTTGGCTGTTGCCATGTGAGCATTGATTGCTGATGAGAGTTGGCATTTGTGTGATGCTTGCTTTGTGTTATCCAATCTGTAGAACGAAGTTGGTGTCTGCTACTGATTCAAAATTCTCCAATTCAGAACCCAAATGCGATTTCAGGGCTACCAACCCTGCTCTGAATTATGACTTGGTCACAGAGCCATCCTTAACCTAGAGGTAGGATCGTTGCAAGTAACTTTTCATGGCAGCCTTCTCTGGTCTGGGTGCTGTGAAGATTAGTGGAAGTGTCCTTGACGATTGATGCAGTCTTGATAAACTACAGGGCCTTACACCCCCCTGGAAATTTAACAAAATCATATCATCAGGGGCCTTGCAGTCAGATTGGCCTTGTGTACACAAGGAATGTGTGAGAATGACTGTAAAGTGTTCAAGATAGCGTGCATGCTTCAACATCTGCTAATTTCCAATAATCAAACATTGCATATTGAAATGTTTCTTTGTCAACAGTGTATTGCCTTGACATCTTGTAATTATAATAATAATAATAATATTGATAATGATTATGCAACGCAAAATACCAATTGTTCATTTGTTATCATCTTGATAAGAATCTTATAATTACCCAGCAAGATTTGCTTCACATTTTGATCCAGTTATATATTTGTATCTTATTGATATGCCAATACCTTGATTATTTTTTAAAGAATATTGATCGGATGTCAGATTCTGAGATTTACTGATACCCATTACCCAATTTGGCATCATTCAACCAGTAAAAAGAGAACCAATAGATTATATACAAGCAAAGAAAGATGGGACCCTAAATTAGCACAAAAGAATTTTAAATCATGCACAAACATAATAGCTTGATAGCTTGATTGACATGGTGCAGCCTTGCAATTTTTTTATTTATTGTATATTTTAAATGTGATTAATCATACATTTTTAACAAAACAAACATGACTTAACCATTTAATTATTTCCTTGTATGTGAATGCCTCCATCCAACAAATATTCATGATGGTCATGATTA